TCATGAGCGGGGAATTGGATTCTGTTACAACCAGCTGCTGAGGGACCAACGAGGCAGCAGAGGAAACTTAAATATCTCCATCTTTTAAATAGAAAGATGGCACTGGGGCTTTTCCTGCCCTAAAGGCCTGCCAAGCTCATCCCCTCTCTAGATATCTTGGTTGAAGGGTTAATACAACATTTTTTCTTTCCCCTGTACAGAAATCCACCACAAGATATCAAAAAGGACAATTTTTTTTCCACAAATAAGCATTAACTGTAGCATTTGGCGAGAAAGGCTCCATTGAGTGGATCGGTAATAAAAGTAGCTGTAATAAGAAGACGGCTGCTTAGTTCACTTCCGAGCGGCAGACTGCTTGACTCGGGCTGTGGATTCAACCCTGCAACCTAATCGGCGGCCTCCTGTAACCTCTGGGCACCTAGTGCGTATTCTGTGGCAGCCGGGTCCAACACTCCCAGAGCAGCGTCAACAAGCGGATAAGCGGAGGGGGCATTTGACTGCCGGCAGCCATTCAAGATTTCACCTCAGGACGAATGTTAAACACAAGCTAGTACAGAGGAACTGCTCACACCTGGTTTTGGATACAACCGTTTAAATAAAAAAACTAAAAAACTGTTCACGGCTTGGCCTGCTTATGTACCGGGAGCCACAGACACATGATTAGGTTACAGTTCTGCCCAAGTGACTGGATGGTATGAGCCTGGTTGGTGGCATCCATGGCAGCGGGGATTTCTGCCAGAGCCAGAGCAGTAATAGTTAAGAGCTCATTTCAGGACGGATATACTCTCTCACACTCAGTCACAGGTTGAGGTAATGCCTCGCTCCAGCCAAAAGCCCTCAAGTTACAAGCTGGATGTCCAACAGCTAACAATCAGCGTACAGATGTTGGAGTAGTTTAATGAGCAACAATTACCTGACTGGTTTAATCTTGAGCTCAGATTACGCCTAAACCTGACAGCGTTCCGTTTTACACATCTAACATTTCTAACAAACAGCTCGAGGAGACTAAAAATTCATTTTAGAAGACGTCTCCAAGTCCATCTTGCTCCTGTTCAGTGTTTTAGCTGAGGCTGGAATCTTTGAATATGCAAAAAAAGTGCATTTATGCTCCACCTTAAGGTTCAGAGTAAAAGAGCAAACATTCCTGGCAGCCACTACAGGAGATTGAGTAATAAACTGTTCATGTAAGGTCCAGCTTGGCCATCCGGTACTAGAAAATATGCATGTGCATCTCTTATTTTGGACTGTGTGCTTTAGGATTCTGATATCACAGAGAAAGAACCAAGATAAAAAAGGTGACATTTGTAAGACCTTTTAATTAATAAAAAAACTACTTAAGTGCAGGACAGCAGTTCCATCCCCATATCTCTTACAAAGGGCCTCTTTAGCTCCCATCTGATCAACATGTCTGAATGGTAGAATTTTAAAGCAGATCCTCTGATCAGCAGTAGAGTGCTGCTGGGGACTGCCGCTCTTAGAAAACACACATTGTGTTTAATCAAAGACTTTTGAAAAATCTTTGAGTCGTGCTGAGTATTTAAAATCAATTGAATAGTTATGGCCAGCTGGAAAGGGATGCGTTCTGTTACCAGCATGCAGCCACTGTACTTGCATCATTTTGAGATGCAATCCAGACTGAGTGGAATGAGTAGGAGGCAGGCAAATGAGAAGTCAGTGGGAGGTGGGAGAAAAACTAAAGTAATGGGATGTGCTAAGGAGGCAGGCTATGCTAAATCCATGCACCATAACCACAATCCCAAAAGAGATCCAACACTTTACTTTCTGGTAGTTTTATTTCTGTTGTTCCACTTGTTTGTATGTAGGATTCTTTCTTTTCATTGAAGCTAATTAAATAACAACCTGGGCCAAAAACCCGACATTCATGCTTGCTGACATGCTTATGAGACAGTCATCTTCATCCTTCTGCTATGCAGGGAAACCATCCACAGCTGCCTCTGTCTGATGCAGAAGCTCTGTGAATAAGTAAGAGGGAGGCACTTTGGATCCTTTCACTGAAATTCTTGCCTGGAATCGTGTGATTTGACTCTTGTGTTTCGGGTTACAGATGCCTTGGTTGCTCACGACGAAGTGTGAAATTCTGCCCCACTGTTAACTTGAACTAGGACAGACATTCCGCCGCCTGCAGTCAAAGCCTGGCATGAAGCACCATGTCGCCAGAGCATTCCCAAAACCTTAACTTTAGAGGTTTAAGAGCTTGTTGAATTACTGAGCCAATATTGAACTTTCCACTTTTTTTTTTTTACCTTAGTTTTTGTCACTCAAGGTTAACATTGACCTAGCAACCCAGAAGGATTCTCAGAAAAGCTGACAGACGTTTTGCATGCATTTCTCTGGCACTAGTAGGATGCAGTAAGGCAGAAATGTGACAATTAAGATCTGGGAGGTTTGACAAATTTGTTGTGAAGGGGCTTTGATGCAATCATGAACTGAGACATCTCGGCATCTTGGTTGCCTTTAACATAAAACCGTGATTCAAATGACAACCCCAGCATCTTTTTACCTCCTTCTCTTTCCCTCTGCGCTGATACGGTACGTGCAGCCATTACCAGGAAGTGGCGGTTACTCAGACTGGACACGTTGGCCCCGCCCCTGCAGCACTGATTGACCTGGATCATAAGGATGCTCTGCTGGCCCGCGGGGGTACCCATCTGAGCACAGGCACCGCGAACCATTCGCTGCCTCCTCCTGTGACCCGCCGCATCACCACTGTGATTACAACGTCACTCTGGGTTGCCTGTTACTTCCCCTCTGCGCCCACTGGCCCCGACAAAGGCCTGTTCGCACGCAGAACGCAGAGTCAGATCAATAAATTAGCCATGTGTGGCTGATGAGTACCCCGGTGAGCAGGAGTCAAATCAAAGCCAGTCCAGAGTAGTAGCATCTACCAGCCCAGCTTCCTTTAGAGCTCACTATTAGAGTGAACATCATTTCCAAAAGTTAAAAATCCCACATTTCCATCAGAATGACTCGGAGTGCTGCTGAACTTCTTTCAGCACTAAATAACTGAACAGCTACAGAGTGTATGTGTTGATGGTTCCGCTCCCAGAACGCCTAACAGCATAATGGATGCATAAACACGTTTTTCTAAAGGTCAGTTCAGTTGGTAATGGAATGAAAAGGCTGCCATTATGTCAGGAAAGCCAGATAGAATTTGGTTAGTTAAATAAATGACCAGCGCCGCCACTCACAGAGCTGCATACCAAGCAGCAGCAGAGGCAGCACAAGTCAACAGTCAAGTACTGAGGAAGAAAAAAAAGTGTCATTTAATAGAAATGACACGGAGGCCCATCTGAGCGGCGCAGGGGCCTGGCTCATTACACGACTGCTGCCATTTTGAAAGGAGACATTTTAAACACGGGGCACAGCCAGGAAAGGACACTTTGCTGTTATGTTCTTCGCACATTTAATAATAGATCTTAGAGGAACACTTTTCTCTCCCATGGAGTGCCATTCTGATTGCCAAATGGATATAAACTCACAGCCTGGTGTTAGACAAACTGTCACTTGTGAAACAACAAAAAAAGAGAAAGAGAAGTGAGGAGAATACTCACTCCTGAGGAATTGGCCACGCACACACAGTGGAACCTGCAGCCTTTGAGGTCATGTGTCTTTTTCTGACAATCCCTGGTCTGGGTAAGAAAGAGGGGGAGGTGGAAAGGTGGGCTTAACTTTCGCCCGCTAAACTACTGGAGAAATTGGCATGCAAACCAAAAAACTGCAAACCGTCCCCATCTCATATGACCTGCCAGGGGGCTGTCTGAATTCATTCACTGCTGATGGAGCAGCCATCACCAAAAAAATAAATAAATAAATAGACTTGTCACGGTTAAAAGTGATCAATCAGAAAACGGGGAGTGACATTGAAAGAACTTGGGGGTTTTCTCTTTTTTTTTCTTCCATGACAGCATGGGCTCACCCGTTTTAAAGGGCTGAATATGAAAAGCCTCCGGGTTTCAATGAAGGGGTGTGGCAGCGGAGCCCAGACGGCCGGGCATCCCCACTATTTACCAAACACAACCGGGCTGCGGACGGCGCGTCGCACCTTACACCCCCCCTCACACACACTCACACACACACACTCACACACACACACGTCCACGCTCCCCTCGGCCGTGACAACGCGCGCGCAGGTTAGCCGTGGCGTGGGAAACACGCCGTCTAAAGCCGACCATATCCACAGCTCACAAACCAACGGTTCTCCCTGTAAGTCTCATCACGGCGCACGTCTGTTTTTTGTTTGTTTTCCCCCCCTTTTCCTAAAGTATGGTCGCCACACGCTCCAAACCGGCTGCCGTGTGTTTGTGTTTTAAACAAACAGTAAAAAAAAAGTTGGAAACAAACGCCTGTGGCTCGGTGTGGCCGCCTGACTGACATGGGAAACATGGCGGAGGCCGGCGTTCCTCCGGTCAGCGCGGTTCGAATATTCACGTTACCTGCTCCTCCGTTAACTCTCCCCTCCGCGGAGCTAGCCGAACGCCGGAGTCCCCCCCCTTCGGTTCCTGGAACAACAGCAAGTGGCCCCGGAACGGGGAGAGAATGCCCCTAAACTCACCGGCTGACCCCCACCACCTCCAGCAGCACCCCTGCAGCGGCCGGACAGGCAGAGCGGCGCCGGTCGACTGTTCAAACCCACTCCCAAGTTCCCACGATTTAAACGAGCATCACGGCGTCTGAGACCGAACTTAACATTTCAAAAACGGAGCGAGGGGGTGGGGGGGGGAGAAGCCGAGCGGGGACGCTGCAATGCAATGCGGGCACACACACTCCGCGGGCTGCCGTCCAGCAGGCTGGGACTCACGCTGAGGACCTCTCCCTCCCTCTTTTTTTTTTTCCTTCTTCTTTACACACACAGACGGCGTGCGGTTTGATTATTCCAAGGCTTTGGTCGGAGAGGAGGTCACGCCAATATCTCCGCCGCCGCGGGAGCGATGGGCACCGGGATAAGCCGATTACGGGGGGGGGGGGGTTGAAAAACCTACCTTCGGGTCTTCTACTGGGGCATCTCGCGCGAGCCGGGCCCAGAGGAGATGCACGCTAGCCGACAGCCTGCCCCCTCTTTTCGGCACCAAAATATCCTGCGCGCTGAGGGAAACGTTCAAGAAGCCGGACGGCGTGTGAGCGTGAGCGCGCGCGTGCATGCGTGCCTGCGCGTGTGTATGTGTGTGTGTAAATAGGGAGTGGGACAAAGAGGAAATGCGTCATTATTAATGGACCCCTACGTTTTGTAGTCCACTGGTCGAGGTCTACAGCTAATTAAGCAGCACAACGGTTTCAAATGGAGCCCCTATTTATCAGTTAGTTAAAAATATCGACGAAGGACGTCTAAATATCACCAGCTGTCCAATTACTATGGTAGAGGTTGAGGAAAGCTAATTGCTTGTTTTGCTGTAGGCAGCCCAGAGAACCCAGCAGATGGGGTTCTCTGGGAGTGCTGGCAGAGGCAGTGACAGGGAACAAACTACCTCCAGCAGCCTCAACAATCACCCACCGGTGCCTCGCCATTAATGATCTAATCATGTCTCTCATGATCACTTATCTGCCAGAGCAGACAGATACACGGTCGCTCCTAATACTTTTCATTTGCATTTTACTGAGTGGGATTTTTTTGTTCTTGAAGAGTGGAATTAGGAGAGGGATAGCAGTTAACTACTGACTCATCATCGCATTTTAGATCGAGGACGAGGAGAGACAAACCAAAGACTTTGTCCCAGACTTTTCAGGAATCAGAGCGTGTAAAGATTTGTACCCATAACATATTTGTGTTTTGATGGACATATGTTTGATACTTGAAATTAAAAATATTGTTTTTTTTGTCAGACAGATCAACCCTTTTACATCATCCATCATTGTCATATTTATGACAGGACATTTCAAATGACTACAAATGTGCAAATTCTATTGTGTAACTCTTATTCAGTACTTGTGTCCCTGCAAAAGTTCTCATTGCCTCATTGTGAAACTGATCTTGGACTAAATGCAGGTAAATGCACAAATCTAAATAAAGGGAATCTTGGGTTGCTAAGGAGCAGTGTGTTCTGTAAGAAAAGACCCAAACAAACAAAGAAAAAACACCGCACAAAAAAGGGAGAAACGCGTGACACAATTTGTCCTCCTAAACAGGGTGAGTTTTTGCAAAGATCATAGAACACATGTAAAGTTGGTGTAATATCACAGTGAGAAGGCGACCTATGGGTGAGGACAGCCTAAGTCACATGGGAAAGGAGGCCTCAAAGTGGGGAAACATAAGATTCGCATTGCTGCATTTAAACATTTTACATTTGTAGGGGTCAGCTGGGTTGAATGTGGACAAAAATATAAACTGTGGGATTGGAGACAGTTGCTCCACATGCTATAATTGAACGCTGGGTTGCTGTAGACCGTGTACTGTTGGATAAAATGTGAACCTAAATTAGTAAAGGTCAGGGCCTGAAGACCCCAACTGGATAAAGAGCACCACAGCTGAATTCCAAGCATTCTGGTGGAAGCCCCTTGTTACTGTCACGGCAGTTAACGGCGTCTGTTTGCCCCAGACTGAGGTTAATCTCCCTTTATGATCCCTAAACTCTCACGGGTATACACTGATCGTTTGTGCAGATGTATCATGTTAAGGTATCTTTGTTCCAAATCTAAATTAAAGTTTGATGGCAGATTTGATTAATGTAATCTGTACCTCTACAACAAATGTAAATGGTACTTATAGTACCACAGTTAACAAGATTAGCTTTTCCAATAAGACCATAAGTGGTTTTTAAGAGTAAAAATCTGGACTCATTTAACGAAGTCACCCCGTTTTCTCAAAGTACATTAAAATGGGCAGATGTCGCCATCTGGTGGTTGAACAAGTGCAGTTCAACTGACCAAAAGAGCTATTCTGCATTTTAAAATGAAACCTGTGTAATTCACAATACATTTCTGTATACTTTAATGATTAATCTTCAGTTACATCATTTAATTGATTAACCTCATAACAAAAATTCTAATTTAGTATTGTAAAACGGAAAAAACTCCACACATCAGACAGAAAAACCAAAGCCAAACAAAGTGTTTTAAACCATCCTTGCTTTTTCAGACTGCTGGCACAATTCTTTTTAAATTTAGGTAAATATTACCAAACAAAACATCTATTCCTGAGGGAGTAACACTTTGGGCTTCGGTTCATGAATTTCAGACTCCATCCCGGGCAAACTTGTCCTTCTACGAGCTGCTGTCTCAATCTTCTGCACCAGCTCCACGTCCCAGGGGTGAGTGACGAAGCTGAGCACCGCGCCGTCCTCCACCCCTCCCGCTCTCCCCACCCGCCCTGCTCGGTGAATGTAGTCCGTGTGGGATTCTGGGAAGTCGTAGTTGACCACCAGACGCACTCTGGAAGTGTCCAGGCCGCGTGAGGCAATATCTGTGCAAACCAACACGTTGACCATGCCCTTCTGGAAGGATCTGAAGATTCCCGCCCGCACCACGGCGGGCATCTCCCCCTGCAGTCGAGCGTGCTGCACCCCCAGTTCCTCCAGAGAGTAGCCCAACCAGTTCACAGTGGCAGACTTGTTGCAAAACACCAGAGCAGCCGCCTCTTTTTTGTCCTGCTGGAGCCGCACGAGGGCTTGCTGGAGCTCCAGGATTTTGTCGGCACCCTTTACCTTCAGAAAAGTCTGTTTGACGTGGGGCATGAGGAAGTGCAGCATCTTGCTCTTGATCGTCACCATTCTGCCCAGGTCCGTCACTTGGTTCAGCACTTCTCCGACACCGCTGGGGAAGGTGGCCCCCACGACCAGAAGCTGGGATTTGTGACCCACGCCGCACGTTTCCTTAGGATCACTTGCAATGTTTGTGTGCGTGAGGATGTTCTCCAGCATGTCACAGAAGCTGGGGTCAAACATGGTGTCGGCCTCATCCACCACTAAGAAGTTGAGTTCACCCAAATCCAAATAGCGTCTTTGCAGAGCTTTGACCAGAGCGCCTGGTGTAGCCACTAAAATGTCAGGGTGATCGTTCTTGAAGACCATCTTTATGTGTCCCACACCTCGCCCACCGCCCACAGTCTTCGTACGCAGGCCAAACGGAGCACACAGAGTCCTGGACACACCGGCCACCTGATCTGCCAGCTCTCTAGAGGGAACAAGAACCAAAGCTCGGATCTTGTTTGAGCTGTCAGTGTCGATACCTGACTGCCTTTCAGCCAGCAGCCTGTGGACGACCGGCAGCAGGTAGCACAGTGTTTTCCCACTCCCCGTCTCGGCTGCACAGAGGATGTTGTGACCCCTCATGACCTTTGGGATAGTTTGCACCTGCACTGTGGTGGGGTGTGTGATCCCGAGTCCCTCCAAGGTTTCAACCAGCTCTTTGCAGATTCTGAGATTTTTAAAGGTCGTTGATGGTCTTTCTCCGGTGTCCTCTTTCTGGGTCCCCTCCACGCAGGGTGCAACCTCTCTGATGTTGTTGACTATAAAATAGTCTCCAAAGGACTTGTTGTGTTTCCATCCCTTCGAGGACAGATGGGGCTGGTCGAACTTCCCCAGCACGTATCCCGCAGACTGGTTCAGAGTAGGGTTTCTGCTCTTGATAAGAAGTTTCCCAGCTTTGACGGTGCTGATGCTGGTTCCGCCTCGGGCTTGCTTCACGTTGTCAACGCGCCTCTGGAGGTACCGTGGGACGCGAATCACCACGGTTTCCTCTGGCGTCGCCCCTGTCTGACAAAAACGAGTCTGACTGGCAAAATTGTGGGCACGAAGGTAAGCAGGTGTTGCCAAAAGCTCGTGACTGCAAAGTCTGCTTGCGCCAAGGAGTCTCGAGGCAGCTAAGGATAAACAGGCGACCTTCGCAGTCTGCATTTTGAGGCTTAACTGGTCCACGAGGGTTTAACAGCTAACCGACAAAAACAAGAACATAAAATAATGGCTAAAACATGCTTATACGGACAGCTTTCTTCATTGAAAATCGCCACAATACTTCAACATCACCAGAAAAATCCCAAAGCCCGTCCTCATCTCCCGACCACTGACAGCAGTATTGCCATGCTTCCTTGTCAAACATTGATGATGTCATTGGCGTGTGGTGATGACGCACCGAGAAACGCAGCGCACTCTCCTAATAATTTTTTTGTTTGTTTTTGCAGTTTTCCAAAAAAATGTTGAATTACATATAAATCAGATAAAAATTATTCAAAAATCATAAATGGTTTGGTATGTGAAACAATTTCTGCTTGGATTCAAGTACAACATATCCAACATATCAAACGTTTGATATTTGATGATAATTTAGGTGAACATTGGTAAAGTTTTGATTTCTCCTCTTAGATGTTTTGTGTACCTTCTTCTGCACCCGCTTCCACTTATTATATGCTGTGTATCTTCGTTTTAGTTGTGTTTAGGCTAAAGACTAATCTCCAGATTGAATACATGTTTAACGAATGTGGACGGGTACAGAACCCATCACTATATGGGCAGAACATGTCAACTCCACACAGGAAAGACCGCTTGCCAGGATTTGAACACGAAACCATGTTGATATACAATATTCTACAATTGTTCGATAGTTTGCTCAAATTAACTTTTGAATGTCCAATCAGGTTACTACTTTGTTGCCAATATATCTGAATAGATGTGTGTGACATGTCCTTAGGTTCCTGCAATCAATCAAGGGTGTAACAAGCCTCCAGCTCTAGGCACTTTCAACATTCTATATTCTCTGTTGTGAAAAAAATATTGATTCATTTTTTTTATACTTTATGGACAATGTCATATTTTATTTATTTGCTGTATTACCTGTTTTAAACAGTTAACAAATCCCTCTGCAGCAGTTCATGCTGGTTGTGTTCATTTAGCCTCAGCCATCATAAGCCTGGAATGACTAATCAAACAGCTGATCACCACCCCAGCTATTGCCTGCAGTAATGTAATGCCAGAGTATGCAATAGATTGTACAAGGGGTGAGAAAGACCACTGTCATTGACACAACCGTGTCTGTCAATAAAAGTCCACATGACTTTCTGTTCTTGTCTGTCCTCATCATCAATGGCCCATCCAACACACATTTAATTCATAAAAACATTCTGTTATCAAGCAGAAAATGTGTGACAACTGGCTTATGTAAACATGTATTTTAGTTAAGCATGTTAACATATATTTTTTAAATAGTTCAAATCACTACATAAGTGCACATACAGGTTTAATTTTTTCCTGTATCTGTGCTGAGTTCTTGAGGAGATTATCCAGTACTTTTGCTCTACCTCTGGTGTGTAAGTGATTAAAGAAGGCCACTAATCCCCCCAGGAATGCACACACAGAAGGGAAACGCAGACCCTTTATTTCAGACAGTTTTTCTCTAATATCCTATTGAGAATGTTTCATTAATGTAACTGGATGGGTTCTATGCAAATATCTTCTCATAAAACAGTTCTATATTGCATTACAGAGACAAAAAAAGCACATCTCTGCATTTGTGCTTTTTTATTTTACATTGATTGTAGATCAGCTACCCTTAACATGCACTGAATGAATCAGCTCACCGATTGATCCGGTGAAGGTTCAGAACGTGGCTCACGCTTTTAGTATTAGTCACATGTTAGACAGAATACCCATGATACAATTTGCTTCCTCCCAACAAGGGGAAAAAAAATCGAATCTGCGTCACGTGAAAAAAAAAAAAAAGTTTATCTTCATTCTAATTTTTAAAAATTTAATGAAATCTTGTCCTTTTCAGGTGAAAAATCTGGCAAATGCAATGTCAAATGAACTCATGCATGTAACATGATGAGTATAAGTTATTTGTTTCCTTAAACTAATTAGCAGAAGCAGTAAGTGGGAAAACTCCCCTGATTCAACAAGTTTTTTTTCAAGAACCACATTTAGCAGAAGTATGCTGAAGTCTTCATTTTCAGTCTAATGATATCAGGCTCTCAGATCACTCTCTCTTTTAAAAATGTTTCCTAAATTCACGTATGTCTTTATGCACAGTTCTGGTACCAAAGCATTTCAGTGGACTTTGTATCTTGATGTTGACTGTCTCAAACCCTTGTGTATCTTTTGTTTTTCAGTCCTTCAGTGATGTATTGTGGTATTTGTGTTTGGTTTTTCTGTTGCATGACCTCTTTTCAGTTAAACTCCAGCCATCAGACGAATGTCCTCGCATCTGACTTCAGTAAACGTTTGGTTACAGAGGAGTACACGGTTAAATCAATGACTGCATGGTGTTAAGGTCCTGTGGCCTCAAAACAAATCAAAATCATTACCCCTCCGCTGCTGTGCTTGGCAGTTGTTCTCAGGTGTTTGTGCTGATATGTTGTGTTTGGGTTGAATATGGGGCTGTGTTCAATGTTCTAACACTCATATGTCCAACAGATTTTGTTCCAGAACCCTTACGAATCATTCAGAATCAACTTTCCAAACTTCCAAAGCTGTTCTATTCATTCAGAGAGTGTAGACCTTCTGCTGGTGACCTTTCAAAACAAGCCATACTTGTTCGGTCACTTCCCAATATTTAACATTCAGCGTGTTAGCTGGGGCCTGTGGAGCCTGAGATGTTGGTCTATGTTTCTACAGTTACCGGTTAACTGACTATTGTGCTGAGTGACCTCTGGGTGAACTTGCTAGGACATCCTTTACAGGGAACTGAACTAAATACTTTGCACTTTTTGGGAGTAGAATGACAGAATAAAAACCATTCCCAAATAGATGGACAGCAACAAACCCCTGTCTGAGGTCAATGGTTATGTATTTTTGCCTCATCGCTGTGTTCAGAACAGGGAGCTGCCAAATCCAATGCTTTTAATGCTGTTCCGATCATCAGTGAAGTACATTTGACCAGCAGCACCTGACAGTTTGTCATTCTCCTCCTTCTTTTGCATTGTAAAATGCGGAAATTAAAAAACAATGATGTTTTGGGAGTCACATTTAACATGAAAAACAGCAAAGATAACATATCAAATGGTTACAAAATTGTCCCAAAATAACTTATCATTACAGTTTTTAATGATACAGAGATTCCAGAATGAGGGGCTCTCTACTAACCTCTCCTAAGGTTTTTAATCCAATCCACATTTGATGAAAGGCTATTTCAGTAAAAATTTCACAGACTGAACAGAAGAGGGCAGCAGAAAGCATCACAGGACATTTCAAGTCACCTGAGAACAGAGCAATGACAGAAATACAGCAGTTTTCCAAACGTATAACAGTTTCACTTTGAATATTATATCTTAAAAATGTATACAGTCTCTCATATATCATACACTAGATCATTCACTTATATATGTAAATGACTACTTGTCTATTTTTTCAAGTACCGGTAATCTTTAGGCCAAATGCACCATAAATTACTTCTGTGAGCGTTGAGCCTCTTATCAGCTTGCGTTCCGATAGTAAATTGCATTACTGATATTGATATTTAATGACACTGAGTGAACAGAGGCATATGTTGTCACGTTGCTTCATTACACCTCTGCACTTTGGCAAGCATCAATCCTTGAAAGAATGACACCTCTGAGACAGGACCAGTGTGGGGGCAGAGCGTGTTTTTGTTTTTTTCCTTTATAACTTTCTTTACATGAAACCAAGCATCACAAACCACATCTACAGCCTCCCACACAAATTTTTTTCTTTATCCTCTCCCTTCAAAGGTCATCTGCGAAGATAAGAGGCACAGGTAGCCTGAATTAGACCAGGGTGGGTCTGAAGAGAGTCGGTTCATCTCATGTGATTGGCCCAAACATGCGTTTCGAGAGGAAATTTGAATGATTTAATATATTTTCTCGTCAAAGTTTAATTTGTTTTGACCCACTAAAGGAAACAATCTTTGCAATTACTCCTATTGATGTTAAAAAACCGTACTCCAGTTACAGTGATTGGATGGGGGTGTTACTTTAGCTTGTTTGTATGAGCTGAATCACTTTTAAGGAGATAAGCTGATGGCTAATCTTTTATTTTCTCTGTTTCCGCGATACTATCAAATTTAGAATCAATTAAAAGGAAAAAGCCTGGCTCACAGTTCAATTGTATGTTTTGACTACCCTATACTTTTCTGTTTCATATCCTTTATTCTCATCAACATTTAATCACATGAGATGGACTGTCATGAGCTGAATAAATGGAAAATGTGTGTCTGGCTTATCCTGATAAGAGCAAAGCACAGCTGCTTGAAGTTGCCCTAAAAAAGCTTCTTTTAAATATTCTACATATAGAATATACTTTGAGCAAACTCAGTGTTAATCAGATTATCTAAATAATTCCCCTTTTGTTTATATGCCATTCTATATAAATAGGCAAATCCAAAATAACTTTATAATGTTTATTTTCCCCCTGAAATGTTATTAAAAACATTATGAAAAAATATATTTTTTTAGAAAGGTCTGCAGGAAAACATAAACAAGTACAATCAAAGGGGATTTGCATGCAACAAGCACACATGGAGCAAAGAAGAGCAAATGTCTTTTGGGAGAGAACAATTTCACAACATGGCACGTAACTCAAAAAAGGTTAAACTCTGTGCTTTTGCTTGGAAATTAAGACCACAGGAAATGTGATATTGATGCTTTCAGCTGCATTTTTTTAGCTGAGCGCTTGTCTGTACGCCCACATGCATCTAGTGCAGGTACAAGTGGAGTGTTTGTGTCAGAAAAAAATGAGTGTCATCTGCTCTACGCTTACGATGATGGAGTGAAAAAATACCCTTGTTTTTAAAAGTTTAAATAGAAGAAAGTTATCTTTAAATCTCTAAAGAAAATTTTATTTCAAGCAAGCAGGTCATAAACGCTTTGAATTAGGAGTGTGATTAAAGTAATGTGCCTTATGAATGTTTTATAACAACTCTTATCAGGATTACAAAGGCATCTGGTAAAACATTAAAAACTTGCCTGATAGAGGCAAGATCTTGATCAGCCTTTATTCTCTTTGTGCACAAGTGTACAAATTACCAAGGTGCCCGATTGTTAACTGTATCATTGCTAGGTGTTTTAAAGCAGGGTTCAGAGGGGGTGTGTACATGTGTTGATAGTTTGGACTCTGATGGACACAGGAAATGACTAGTTAGTAAAAAAGATGTCAGCCAAGACAGCAATTAAAGCAAGCAACCCATTTAGGATGCATCGCTCTCAGAGTTGTTTACCCAATAAAGATTAACCTGAGGAGATTGATGGGTTGCAAGAGGCACAGTGTTAAAGGGAGTGGAACAGATAATAGACCGACAGACAGCACTCTCACTGCTGCCTTAATGGAGTTGAAAATGATCTTTTGTGCTTTTCTCTCTCTATATTTTCAAAAGAAGCACTCAAGTATGTTGTTTTAAACATAAGACACAGATATGCATCATGGAAAAATACATGTGTTTATTATTTTACAATAGGTTAAAATGGATGGACCAAATTAGTCCAAATTAGTTGGAATCACTGAATGCAAAGTCCTAATTTGAGCAGGCAAAAACATCAGAATGTCAAAACTTACATTGAGTTGGAAACACTACTCTCAGCCACCATGCAAAGAGATAAAATTGAGAAATTAAGCAAGTTTAAATCATGTGATCCGGAAAGACAATTTTGAAAAAAGTATTCAGACTCACACTATCTAAACTAAATGTCGTCATCAAGAGCTTGGCTCTTCAACAGTCTTGATGAGACTGCGTGAAAATGAAAAGAGATATGAATGTAAAGAGTACAGTGTTCCATTACACTTACCAATCCAGGCTTGGATTAGAACCACACGAAGAGGTAGGGCTGAGGGCCAGGGCCAGGTCGGATGTAATCTTTTGGGTGGGTGGTGCATTGAGTATCAAGGACCAATTAAACGGAGCAAAGTGACTGTTTCATCTCGTTAGAGCAAGGTCAAAGTGGCACAAGCAGCTTCAAATTGTTGCGGGCTGTGGCTCGTTTAGATATAACAATGACAGAAAAAGGCATGGGCTATAAGTTAAAGCTGGATATTTTTTGTGTCTTTCATTTGAACAATACATATTCATACATAAAGCCTGTATCATTTTCCTTCTACACAACCAAATATCTCACCTGTTGCAAAGCACGACGCCCCCCTTTCAGGAAACAATCTATGTGTGTGTTGTAACTTACTAGAACTGTATTAGATCCATGGCTGAGAAGCTGCGTGTGCGTGCCCTGTGTTGTGTTTTGTCTGCTGACGTCACCACTGGAACTGCCTTGTCACGCGGGGTTAGTAAAAGTTGGGATAGGAGCTCCGGGGAGAGAGAGAAACGGACAGGAGAAGGTAGAGGGAACTGGACAATTACTCAGGCAATTCGGCGGCATTGCAGCGAATATCTAACCCATTCGAGCGTTTGTTTTTGTTGTTGACGGAAGGTTCGGGAGACGGAGGGAACTCGAGGCAAGGAGACGCCGAGGGGGCAGGCGACTTTCTCTTAAGTTAAAGCCAGAAATTCGCTCGTTAACTGCCAGAGGAAGTGGAGCCCGCGACTCGGTATTTTGGATCTGACAAACGAGAGGGAAACCCCGGTTTGTGTGTGGCCGAAAGCTCGCGACGTAAAATTCGCTAAAGTTGAAGTTTGGCGTCGTGGCAGTCGGTAAATGTTGTGACATTTTAGACCAGCGTAAATTGCTCCAGCGGTCGAGTCGCGGGGGTGAAAACCCGAGCTGTCAAACCCGATGACTACTGCAAACTGCCCCGGGAATGAGGAGCTGGACTTCAGACTGATCTTCGGAGAGGACGGGCAGCAGCACCCGTTAGGCCCCGCAGGTCAGTGCATTTCGCCGTATCCAGAGGCAACACAAACTGCGAGAAGTACAAAATTGGGCGCAATAAGCTCTAACGTGAGTTACTTAATCTGCGAGGCTACTGTTTCCCTTACTTTGCCCGGCAACTTTCGACTACACTCTCACAGCGGATAAAGAAGACTTTAACCATTTAGCGTTGGTATTAAACATTTATTGATTTATATCATAATGAAATATTTTATTACACGGGTTTTGAGAAAAGAAAAAGTCAAGCTAATGTCCAAATATCACCAGCTGTCATTAGCTTGACATGCTAAGTTAGCAGACTAGCTCAATAGCTCTTTTTGCCTTTCAAAGGCAAAAGTTGAGCTGTGTGTGATCTACAGGTTTTACAACAGGCTTCAGTTAGCTGGATGTGCCTTTATTTAGGTTGGTGGGGGGGAGCACAGGTATGCCCCCTCAGTTGTCTCTCATAAAGTCGAAAGCACTCAATGTGCCCATATTTTAAGACGGATTCTTTTTTTTATCTTTAAAGTATAGATGAAAATGTCTCCAAAAAGTTATTTTGGTTTGTATCGAACCGACAATTTACTTTTGCAAGAGGAGCAATTTAGATGATGCATATGTTTTTTAATTCAAGGTTTTTAGAAATTGATTTAAAATAATGAATCATTTGGCATGACGACAAGAACATTTACAGTGGTTTCCTAATTAAAAAAACAAACATAAAAAGGTCAGAAGAGTAACTCTTATACATGTCTGCATGTGTTTGAATATTAAAATTACTTTTGCCTTAATTCAGTTTTAATTTGCACGGTGGGAACTTTTGAATTGTGACTTAATGACAGGGTCTTAACCATACTTCTAATAAATCCGGGAACAATTGGTAAGGTTAGAGTAAGGTTATTAGGACATGTTGCTGTGAGGGAACCATTTGAATGTGACCACATTTTCTGCCATACACATGTTGGCAAAACATATTATCTTCACATGGTTTCAAAACTGGAGCAGAGGTCCTCTCTTGATGCTTTGAATAAACAGTGGTGTTTGGATTGCTCTGTGCAAATAAATTTCTGGTGTATTTATAAGCAAATGTGATTGATTTGATTGGTGAAAATGTGTAAGATGTCTGCTGCTGATACTGGTATGTGCAAAATCATGCCAGAATAGAGATGGGTACGTTATGTTCTGAAGACAACAAATTGCACTTCACTGCACATACATATTTACGTGTACCCATAAGGTCATAAAATTAATTAATGATTGTACAACAAAAGGAAAAAATAGAGAGTTGATGAAAACAAATTAATGGATTGAAGTAACAAATCTTGATATACAAAAATAATTCAAGCTTCAATGAATTTATTTATTTTTAAAATGTATTTATTTTAGTGTAACCATGGCAGGGTAAACATGAAATATGTAGATTGATTTTAAGAGAACAGAGCTTGCACAGGGTAGAGGTGGTGAGTTTCAGAAATGTACCACAACACATCAGAGAACAAACTTTGTCTGGACTATTTAACCCCTTTTGCCATGTTGGCTGTGTATTTCCCCCTATTTGGCACAGTGCAGTCCCATGCTATGCCTCTGGGAGTAATATTTTTAGGTATAAGCTATGAGCAAATTTACGTTTATAAAACTGTTATCACTGGCTGTAGAAGTGTCCGAATGCTTAAAATGCAAAACTTAGTGTCACTGAGATCTTTGATTTTTAGTATATGGTCCGTGGTTGCTTTATGTTTTATTTGTGTGGACGATTTTTGTATTTAAGGCACGTAAAACACAAGTATGCATCATTTGCTTTGAATGATGTGTCCTTTTTGCATACATAATCAGGATGTGAGAACAGTCTGGGATCTATAATCTCTGGCTTCACGTATGCCTCCATATGTGAATTCAGCATGTATTCCCTATGCTTGTTAAGATAGCCATGTGTCTATTTGGGGTAGGAAATAGCACAAGAAATGGTTCAGACAAGATGTTGACAGTGTATTGCTCATCACAACTACCAACTATTTAAAAGTGGCATCTCTCACGTTTATAGTACAGTGTTACAAAGAAGCCATCCTTGTTAGGTGAATGTGCTGTGACTCACCTTTTCACAGCAAAGTGCTGCTTAAGTGCATGATTTTAATATCAAGGCATTTGCATTCACAATCAGAGAGTTTGCAGCCCGATTGCTGTCCAGAGCTCAAATCTCTGCTGGACCAGACACATTGATTTGGCAATGAGATTGCTATGCTTGTTATTCGAAGGTATATCCAATTTGAATCTGATCGCAAATTCAGACTTTGCAAACAGCACGGTGAGGGGCAGTTAAGGCAGATCAGCGTCATCCTAAACTGGCAGCGTAAACACCTCTTGAAAGGCTGTGTCAGGTATATGCCTTACTTCAAGATATATACCTTCTTTAGTTCTGACGGACATGCTAGACTGTAGGAGAAAAAGAGCTTAGTCTGTCTGTCTTTCGGGTAATCTATCAGACAAATAATTGTGCTGGTAGAGCATTAGAGGACATGACCAACTCAAGAGTAGGAGGTAAATTGACTCCTGTCTATTTGCTGAAATAGATATTGGTAGATCATCATAAAATACCTCTCATATTTCAGACTAAATTGTAAGTAATTAACCTGACATGACAAGCTTTCACAACATAACAAACCTTTCCAGCTGTGCTCCAGCCCAGTAAATCATTGTGACTTACTTAAGTTTAAATTAAATGTAGCCTATATTGTAAATAATTATATTTAGAATATGATGGCGTTTAAGATAGTAAAGTATTTGTTCACATATCTTTTGTTGAACATTGAAGTTTCATGTTGACAAAAAAAAAACAAGCAATCAAGAACATTTTTGCTTGGCCAGGATGTGTTATTAATCATTTATCCGGCATTGTGTAAAATTAGCTGAACACTAGGTGACGTGTCAGGATAATCAGCATGGTACCTGATAAACGTATGTATGTATGACATTTTTCGTTCTTTTTTCCTTTCATCCAAATGCCCAGCCGAGTAAAGGCTTATAAAAAAAAAAATTTTTTTTTTTTTTTTTTTTTTTTTACAAGAGGTTGGTTTTTACTTTTGCTAAGTGAAGTAACTGAGCTACAGAACAGATTTCATGGATTTGCCTTCTGTGGAAAAAGAGTAAGGAGAGATGTGCATGATTGCCAATGCTGTCCTTCAGAGACTGCTGGATTGCTCATTTCTTCAGAGGCTGAAACTAAAAGAAGTGGCCATTGAAAAGAATGATATTGCTAAAAGAAAATCCTTTGCCCGTAGCAGCAGCTGCTGCTATCTTTTTGAGGTTACAGTTATTTATTCAATGAAAATCTTGTCATCTATTTCTGAAAGAGTCATAAACGCCATATAGTTGAAGTAGGAATCTGGATTACAAGCCGCACCAGTTGGTGTGCCCATGCTCATTTCAGTTTCACCATTTCACCAGCTGTATCCTATTCATGAAACTCAGACACAGTCCATGAAGGTTTGGCACACACAATCTTCAATCAATTTTTCCTTTGATTAAAAAGCAGTTTGATTTGGAGTTGGAATGAGGGGAAAAACTGCATTTGGTAGAAGCGCTGGAATAAAAGGACCACTGTGTAAGTGGTTTTGAACCGGTCCTGACTGTATGACAAGGCCCAAACAGGGAGGGGGTGGGTGGAGGGGTACCTGTCTGAATTAATTACTATAGTGTATTACAGAGTCATTTGGCCACAGCAACAGAGACTTACACACTCCTGAGTTGGTTTCCCCTCTCTGAGGGCAAGACTCAAGTCGGGACTTGTTTTTGAGGTAACCCTGGGAAACAAAATATCTGAGGTTTTCTACCTCCCTGTATGAGGCTTGTTGTTTAAATTGGGTTGTGATTGTTTATACCCTTTCACTCAAGTACCCGGAATATTAATTCAAGTCAAGAAGCGGTGCTGGCGTTCAAAGTGAAAGCTGAAGGGACGCGGTTAAATGTCTTTCTCTTTGAGCAGCGGAACGCAAAGCTCTGTATCCAGATGCTCACCCTCTTTCATTGTTTCTACTGTCTCCTTCTCATCTTGTTTCTTGAGAAAGCTGGTCTCCGAATTTTGACTTTAGCTGCTGCAACGTACATGTATGTGGTTTTAAAAGAAAAGAACTAAATGAAAAAGATGTATAATGATTGTATAGAATACAACACCTTTTCATACGTCTGCTTTCTTCTTCTGCTCTCTGCTTGAATAGTTGTCTGACTTTTTGTGTCTCGTGCTCTGTTTTGTTGCTGAGGAAACAGTTCTTTGAGGTGAAATATTCCACTGTTCTTTTTGCAGACACCGGTAAGCTTACTGTAAGGGTGTTTCTCTGATATCAATGGCTAAATTAGACAGCAAGCCTCTCTGAGGGAGCTCAAGTATAAAGTGTGATTAGGTTATTCAGAATACATAGTGGGAAAAAAGAAGGATGAGAAGTCCCGATTTAACAACAAATGACCTATTGTACCAAAGAAAAGTGGATTTTTTTCAATCCATCCATATTGGGATCAGTATAAATGTATATAAATAGACATGTTTATTATATATTTTTTCAGCCTCTGTCTTTTTTCTACAAAATACAAACAGGTGATTTAAAGGCTTGTATTTACATTTGTAGTTAGCTGTAAGTCTTTGTGTCAGCTTGTGCCAAAGGTGTGAAATTGTGCTTGAAATTAAGTTTTCATAAAATCTGAACGTTTTAGAGAGATTAAGCATTCTGTGTTCAGCCCCACTCCCTAAAGCCAGGGTTCCATTCACTGACTAATAAAATCTGAAGTGATCTTTGAAGAATCTCCAAAATAGAAATTTGAATCAGAAAAGTTTCCAATGGACTAGTTTGAAGGGGAAAGACAAGCGGATGTAATGTTGACTGAGTGGTTGGGTATTGGCTACGTTCCTCGGGACTGTAATTCAGTTGAAAAAAGTGGTTGTTTAGACTGGAAACTAGTGCCTTTACTTCCAAATAGAAACTGCACCAAGTACTGTGATGGACATGAAAAGTAAATTTGACATCTCTG